TTGACAGCGCGCATCTTCAGGGCTCGCTATTTTCCTGGTGGCTCTGTGTTGGATGCGAATGTTGGGGTGTATCCTTCTTTCGTATGGAGATCCCTGTTGTGGGGCAGAGAACTATTAATGGCAGGACTGCGTTGGCGTGTTGGTAATGGACTGTTAATTTCTATTTATGATGACAAATGGGTGCCACTACCTCATCTCTTTAGAATCACCACTCCTCCACGTTTGCCCCTAAACTCCAGAGTTTGTGATTTGATCAATGATTCAGGACATTGGGATCGCGAGCTTGTTAATGCTAGTTTCTGGAAACATGAAGCAGATGCAGTGCTCAGTATACCAATGGGTTATGTATTACGGAATGATGACAGGTTGGTCTGGCACTATGAGAAAAAAGGTTGCTACACAGTACGAAGTGGGTATTGGCTTGCTTGTGCAATTCGAGATCGTGAAGTTGGAGAGGTGGGTGCATCTAACAACAACTTTGAGAACATGTGGTTGAGATTATGGCGGTTGCAAGTGGCTAATAAAGTCAAAGTTTTTCTATGGAGATGTATGCATGAGATTCTACCATGTCGACAAAATCTTTTTTTGAAGCGAGTAGTATCTAATCCTATTTGCTTTCGGTGTCACCAAGCACCGGAAACGGGTCTACATGCTTTATGGGATTGTCCTGCAGCCCGTGAGGTATGGCAGTTTTCAGCTCTTCAAGATTCATGTAACTCAGCTTATCATGGATGCTTTCTCAATCTATTTCGCTATATCTTGACTGTCTTGACTGATAAGGAACTTAGACAATTTGGGTATATTTGTTGGAATGTGTGGAATGGAAGAAATACTCAATTGTTTCAAGGCTGTAAGCCCAATCCTTTCCAAAGTTACCAACATATGCAGGAGATGGCAGAAGAATTCTATCAAGCGAATTGCACATCTTCACGCTCGACTCAAGATGGAAGCAACCGGGTGGTGAATTGGGAGAGGCCTCCTGCTCAGTTCGTTAAAATTAATGTGGACGGGGCTCTAAAGACAAATGATAGTGTTAGAGGGCTGGGAGTTGTTATTAGAGATGAACGTGGAGAGTTGATTGCAGCAGCAGCCAAACCAGTGTGTGGCATGTTTACCCCCAATGTTACTGAATTATTCGCAATCAGATTTGGACTACAACTTGCTAGGGACTTGGGATTGAAACATATTTACCTAGAGTCAGATGCACAAGCAGCAATACGGATGGCTTTCCAATGTGATGCAGATTTGGGATATGAAGGAGCCTTAGTAAATGAAATTCAGGTTTTAGCTAATTCTTTTCATAGTTGTTTCGGTCAGTTTCGACCTCGTACTTGTAATCGGGCTGCTCATAGCCTTGCACGGTTTGCTCTTTCTATTTCGGACCTTATAGTATGGATGGAAGATGGACCTATTTGGTTGTCTCCCATTCTCACTAATGATGTTATGTTTTTTCCTTAATGAAATGTTATGATCTGTTTCAAAAAAAAAAAAAAAAAAGAAAAATTTATATGATAAATTTTTTTGTATGAATTCCCTACAACATGAGTGGCTGTGATGGGACGAGCATTTGCGTGAGGATGGAGGCAATCGTCGTGGTGGGAATGATGGTACGTAGGAGTTATGGTGGTATGATAGCCTATTCTAGTTCTTGCACTAGAAGAGCATCATTCGTAGAACTACTTTGAGATCAAGGATGGTCCCAGATTCCTTTTTTTGTTCTTTTTTTGCCAAAGTTGGGAAGGGAGGGGACAAATTCACACACCAAGACCACTTGGGAGCACACCAAAGACTAGGCCAAACCAACTAAGACTCTAGTGGTCCCAGTTTCATAATGTTTTGAAAATTCTCTGAATTTTCATACATTCTTTGTGTGATCAAGAAGTTTTTTATTTATTTATCAAAGATATCTAAAGTAACAATCCCCGGAGGGCAACAAACTAACATATTAAAAACAAGGTCAAATCACTTTTAGTCCATATAGTTTGGCACTTCAACTATTTTTGACCATATAGTTTCAATTCCGTCAATTTTGCCATTGTAGTTTCGTATGTGTAGCAATTCAAGGACAAGTTAGCATTCTTGTCAATTTCTTTGGAGGTGCAAAGGGCAATTTCATCAACTCAAAACCCTTGAGCATAAAAGCTTGTCTGAAACTCTCAACATTTCATATTGGGGCTCGAAATTGGCCATTTGAGTTTAGGTTTCTTCAAAAATTGAGATTAGTGGTTGAATTAGGGTAACTTTTTAATTATTATATTATATTATATATATTAATTAATTAAAAATAAATACAACACTTATCGAGCCGGGTTCGGGAATGGGGTTAACAATACCCTCCCCGGTCCATATCTAATGGGGTATTTTAAAATCAGGGATCCCCGTACCCGCACCCCTGTTTTCCCCCCGAAAATTCCCCCTGTTAAGGCTGGAGACTCGACGGGGATTTCTGTCATCCCTACCGTCAGGGAATGGTATCCCAATCCAGGCCCGAATCCCCTGTTTTTTAAAATTAATTATAAAAAAAAAGTTATCCATATGATAACACTTGAATTTTACTTTAAACTATCATTCAACTCAATTATATTCAATTGAAGTATAAAAATTCACTCAACTACTCAAAATCATCTCAATTTAATTTGAAAAAAACTAATAAAATCATATAATAATAAAAATAAATCCAAAACTTCACCATCTTATGTACTCTTAGATGGGTTGAGAGCATCCACAATCATGCTCTTTATTTTTTAGTTAAATTTTAACTAAAAACATATAAAAGTTATTTTAGGAGCTCTTTATAAAATTTAAACTTCAATCGTGCTCTCTAGTTTAGAGTGTGATAAATGCTATAACTCTTTTTTGATTGGTCCATCTTTATAAAATATAAAATAAAATAAAAATAGTTAGTATTAAATAAAGGTTTGAAATACTCATTAAATAAAGCAGCCTTAAATTATAGGGAGTCACTAGGAGTCCTTTATCTCTCCTCATATTTAGGAGCTCTTAGAGCATCCACAATCATGCTCTCTATTTTTTAGTTAAATTTTAGCTGAAAGCATATCAAAGTTATTTTAGAAGCTCTCTATAAAATTTAAACTCCAATCATACTCTCTAGTTTAGGGAGTCATAAATACTATAACTCTTTTTTAATTGGTCCATCTTTATTAAAAAAATAATATAAAAATTAATTAACATTAATTAAAGGTTTGAAATACTCATTAAATAAAGCAGCATTAAATTATAGGGAATGAGTCCTTTCTCTCTCCTCAAATTTAGGAGCTCCTAAAGATCTCCCTATTTTATGAGGTGAATAGGGAGCATGGTTGAAGTTGTATTTTTCTAAATCCTCTCTAAAATTTGTCTAAGGAAGTGGTTTAGAAAGCCCATTGTGGATGCTTAGAGCATCCACAATCATGCTCTCTATTTTTTAGTTAAAATTTAGCTAAAAACACTAGAAAGCTATTTTAGAAGCTCTCTATAAAATTTCAACTCCAACCACACTCCCTAGTTTAAAGAGTCATAAATGTTTTTAATGTTTTTAAATTCAATTTTTGAATAAAGTGTAGACACAAAAGAAACAATAAAAAATAAATTGCTTTAAATAAATGCTTAAAATGATATTAAATAAAGAAGCATTTAATTATAGGGAGTCACTAGAAGCCCTTTCTCTCTCCTCAGATTTAGGAGCTCCTAGAGGTCTCCCTATTTTGGGAGCTGAATATGAAGCATGGTTGGAGGTGGGTTTTTTCAATTCCTCCCTAAATTTTAATTAAGGAGGTGGTTTAGGGAGCTCATTATGGATGCTCTTAGAGGACTCCCTATTTTAGGAGGTGAATAGGGAGCATGGTTTGAGTTGTATTTTACAATTCCTCCCTAAAATTTGTCTAACGAAGTGGTTTAGAGAGCCCATTATTGATACTCTGATAACCATACCCAAGTCATTGTTGCTAATGGGGAAAGATCGATTCTGACACACAGACATATGAGCTGGGCAGTTCAAGAAAAATGAAAATTGGCCCCAAGCTTATTCATAGGACGAGACTGTGGGTGTTCAACTAAACAAAACAAATAGAAGGATGGAGATGTGTTATTTAGGGAAATTATATCCCAGAAATGAAGAGACAAGAAAGAGTTGGAGTTGTGCAGGGTATCTATGAGATGAGTTGTTCCTGGAAGAGACTCGAGTTGAATCCATATAGATTTGTAGTTTCTATCAAACATCTTGTCTTGTAATGAAAGTCATTAAAAAGTTTAGGTAACATTTTAATTGTTATATTATATTATATTATATATTTATTAATTAAAAACAAATACATCACTTACCGAGCCGGGTTCAGGTATCCCCGTATCCGCCCCCATTTTTCCCCTGAAAATTTTCCCCTTAAGGCAGGGACCCTGTTAGTCAATCGCATTTCCATTCCAGTCTAGTAACAGATGGGCAGATCTAAGTTCAAAACTTGCCAACCAAAAACATAGAACCTAAAAAGCTAATATATGAGGTAGACACAAACTCTGGGTTTTCATAACATTCGATATTAAATACATTATGTGCTTTCTTCTTCACTTCTCCTCTCATGTCTATGCAGATCCAGTTTTCTTGATTCTTGCCAAGCAATTGTCTTTTGGCCTAGTGTGTGGCAAGTACATCAATGGGCAGTCCGGATTAGCACGTTCCATTCTGCAGCACCATATTACAGAAACATTAGAAGAACATACAGAAAAAGGAACCCAAAAACAAAATGCATTTTGTAAGTTTAGTCATGGAATTTGGTTGCAAGTGACTCACTTATAATTAAGGAGGAAATAGTGAAGGAAAATAGCGATTTCCAGCTTAGCAAGATCATTTCCGGGGCAAAGCCGGCTTCCAGCTCCAAAGGGAAGAAAAGTTAATGGTTTGGGTGTGTAGTTCTGAGCCAGCAGAGAGCAGTTAAACAAGTCAGATCCAAGATATAAATTACTGTTTGTCATAATTATCAGTACAGTAAAAGTTCTTCTGAACTTACATCCCATCGAAAAGGGTTGAATTCCATTGGATTTGGATATATTTCAGAATCATAGTGAATGCTCCTGAACCAGACCAAAACTTTCCAGCCCTTAGGAATGCTATAACCTGAAATCCAAGCGAATAAGTAAATTTTTTAAGGTGGTTCCAAATCAAAACAAATTTATGACCACTGAAGATGATGCGGAGTAAAAGTACCATGTATCTCAGAACCATGCACTCACCGTTTATATTTACATCTTTCTTTGCCTCTCGAAAAAACGGTAAGTGAGAATGTTACGACACGAAGAGTTTCATCAATCACCTATGGAGTTTAAAAGGGTTAGCTAGAATATTATGGCAGGGTCTGGATAAAAATGAAATTGAAGTCACTTATGTACATTGGAAAGATAGACCATTTCTCGATATTCCTTAAGCGTCAAGCCCTTCTGTGTTGGTGGCCGCCTTTTTAAAATCTCTTCTTGCTCTACCTGCATTGATCATACAAAGATGTTAGCAAAACAGAATTCATTAAATAGGCAATAATTTTATTTTAAATATGGACTAAATCGGAGAGTTGATTGAGTTTGGATGCGAAGTGAAGGCTAGAAATTACTATGTATTCTGACATTGGGTAAAGAAGTCCCCAATATTAAAAATATGACACAATTAAAGAACTTAATCTAGATGGACTATCCAAAGCAACGTAAATTTATCTACCTTAGCTTTCTGGAAATATTCTGGGTGTTTTTGTAGGAAAATGGTAGCCCACATTATTATATGTCCAGAAGATTCATGGCCTGCATTTAAGTACATTAACAGAACATCTATAATTTCCGAATCTGTAAGTTTTCTTCCATCGTCATCCACAACATCTAGCAGAGCATCCATCATATCTTTCTTCTTTGGCATGTAGTTTCCGGACTTCCTTTGAGCTCTTCGCTCGTCCACAATGGATTGAAATGTAGAGACAAGATTTTTCCGAGCCTGAAATGAAAATGACTCAGTTTGATGCTAAAACAAAATGCAAATATTGAAATGAAAATGACTCAGTTAGATGCTAAAACAAAATGCAAATATTAATGTCCATGTTACGGAAAAACAAAAAGAAAAGAAATTCAACTTATAAGTTCCTCACCTTAAGTGCTTTATGATATGCAAATCCCGGAAGATTGATTGCCATGGCTCTAACTCCATAGTTAAGAATTGTATATTCCCTCTCCAGAGCATCCATGACTGGCTCGCTCTCTGAGCTCAGAAAGATGTACATGATAATCCTAAAAGTAAGCTTTCTGAGTTGAGTTAAGAACTCTATTTCTCCCATTTTGGACCATTTCTCCAAAGATGTTACGACCATGTCTTCAATATACTTCATGTACATGGACAATGCTTCATGACCATTTACTGGAGCAGCTGTTAGCCTTCTTAGACGTTTGTGTTCTTCATAAGATATACCGATGAATGAGTTCTTTCCAATTAGTTCCAATGTGGAAAGAGGCCAGCCGGGTTTAAATGCATCATCATCTGTCAAAACTCTTTTACTTGATTCCGGCGTTGTAACGATGACACTTGGGCTCCCAAACATGAAGACCTTGTAGATTCCAGTACGCCCAAACCTGCATTGTTCATTGATAAGGGAATCTAGTTAGATGTGTGCGTGTGTGTGTGCGTGTGCGTGTGCATGTTTGTGTTTGTCTTTCCCTTTTATCTTGAAGTGATTTAAAGTGGAGCATAAAGATAAACTCTTCCATTCGCATCATCAAAACCACTGGCATAACTCTGTTTCTTGCTGCAAATTTCATTCACATTTTCTTTCTCAATTATTCTTAGGGGACCCAATAGCACCATACAAATGCAATTAATGTTCTTTGAATTCTGCTTCCTAAGGCAGATTACATGGAAGACAAGATAAGAAAAGCAAGCGACTGTAATGAAATCATATGTGCTGTTACTAAATCCCATCAACTGTAGTGGTGGGCACACATATTCTACTTGTTACTTCATCGTCTAGTTTCAAGCACACACATATGTTATTTAATTGGAAACTTTTCCTATTGCTTCTTATCTAATTGAAAAGAAAAACAAAGAAGAATATTAAAAAGAGAATAACTTCCTATCAAGGCAGTTAGTCAATCAACTCAAACATGTGGAGAACTTATTCCTAATTATGTTTCTGCTTACATAACCAACGTGGGTTCTCTGTTCTCTGTGATCCATTATCCCCCCACTAAAACCCATATAAATGTCCAAGTACTTTCTTTGGTCAGAAAATTCCAAGGACTTGAGGACAAGGGAAGCATATTAAATTATACAAAAATAAAGAGATTCTCATGCCATGGAAAATCTAAAAACCCCTTCCCCTTTCTTTTGTTCCTTTTTCTCTTTTTGTTTAAAGTTTCTTATTAAACCCTAAATTTCATATAAACTTTTGGGTTGTTTCTAGTCTTAAGTTTACACCATTGTGAGAGGACATAGAGGGGAGAAACACTTATATGAAACAGGTTTGCTATTTCTGGCCAATCACGGTATGTCATACATGATAATTTTTCAACATGACATACTGTGATTGGCCAGAAATAGTAAAACAATGCTATCTCAATTTCGTACAAGTTTTTCTGCATAGAGGGAGGGTGGGGCCCTATATCAAAGACTTGAATAAACTTTTCTTAAAATTTCTTATTAGACCCAAACTTCATATAACATGGACAATTTACTTGTAATCTTACACCATCATTACCATTGTCTATCTAATTTCAGCTGTGAAAGAGGTGTGGGATATAAAAAAAAGTGGGCCCTCTTAAACATAGAGGTGGTGGGCCCTCCTAAACATAAGTAAGGGTGCAAAAATCGGGAGTATTTGCATGCTTTGTGGCGCTGGCACTCAGCCCGTCTGTGTAAAGACTGCCCTCCACAAGTGTCAAATATGCAGAGAGGTTAGTTATAAAAAGACAACAAAGCTGGTGTTATGGATGTGACAGTCAAAATGACAAAAACGGCCAACTCCATTGTCGAATCGACAGTTTTTGTGATCTCTCTTGATTCCGCAATTCACTAAGGTACATTCAAGACAGACCAAGAGCACAAAGTTCGCCTACGTTGGGGGGCACTTTGGTAATTCCAAACCAACTTCAAATTACCAAAATGCCTCCGTCATTTTCTTTAGAAGCGTCCTGCTTGATATCCGGTATCAGATAAACTTTGGCTTGGAGAAAACAAAGAAAATACATATAATTGTAGCCGAGAGAGAGAGAGAGAGAGGGATGTGAACCTGGAAACAAGGGAGTTGACAAAGGTTTCAGGGTTGGAGGACTTGAAAGCTTTGAGGAAGGACCACATGTTGCCAATGAAAGGCCAGCCCAAGTCACCAGGAGGGAGAGAGTACTGCTTTTCACCCAGCGGGGTTTCATATAACCAGGAATTTGCATTCTGCAGAAGCCATTTGAGGGCCACAAGAGCACAAACGCTGCACAAAAGGACCATCCACATGGAGGAACCAAGCTCCATTCCAACTCCCAAACCCAACATAATATATTCTCTGCCTTTGTGAACAAAGGGAACCAAACTCTACTCTTTTAGTTTTTTATCACTGTACTCAGAGAAACAGAGAAAATAGTTGCACACTCAGAGAGAAGAAGCTCACAGTCTTCTTTTGCTTCTCTATGTTTGCACACCTTTATATATAAATACTCTCGGGCATGGCCCAGGGGAGATAGTTTGTTGTTTTACCAAACCCAAAGAAAAAAGGTTAAATTGGAAAAATGAAAAGTTGGATTTATGAAGAAAAATAAGAATAAAAACAAATAAATGAAGGAAATTAAAATATTGTGGTATAATGGGTTATTACATGGTGATGCAGACATGTATAAGGTGGCCGGCTTGCTCTTTATCTATATTTGGTTCTGTCGTGTTGTAAATGGTTTTGATTCTTTTTATGTGTGTACCATTGATGTGTTTTTTTTTTTTTTTTCCTTATTTTTGTGTTTTCACAAAATCCTCTGAGGTTTTGAAAATTACACGAACATCTACTTACATTGTTTTCACAATTTTTCTTCCGAAGATTGATGATTTTATGTATAAAAAAATTTCTTCAAATGACAAAGTTAGCCTTTAATATTAGATTGCACATACATTTATTGAGGATAATTTGTCATTGGCAAAAAAAAAATTATGTATGAAATCATAATCATTTTGGATGAAAAATTAATGAAAAATGGTTTTGTGAAAACAAATTGAAACATCAAGAGATGTTCGTATAATTTTAAAAACCTCGGGAGTTTATATATATAGATAAAGAAATAAATACAACGTATATAGATTATGAAAAGAGAGAGCCTTCAAGGGTAAGCAACAATTGAAGAAACATACTTTGGGCCGAGGCCCACACAAGTGGCCTGAACAAAAAAAGAAACCGAGCCCTTCAAAGCAAGAGGGCTTTTTGGCCTCACTGAGAGAGCAAGAGCAATAGGAACAGGTTCTTCAAACCGGGAAAGGTGACACACCGACACCGAGAGAGCAAGCACCAAAAGCCGTACCAGGCTACAGTCCATCGCCAAGATTGTCAAAAAGCAAACAAGGGTCACCTTTTCATCGCCCATTTTGACCAATCGTAAAGCAATGCGTTTGGCGAAAGCTACCAGATTTTATTGGAGGGGTGTCAGGAACACGGCCGAGATTATTTTTTCGCGTCATGTAGTTCGTAGTTTTCATATATATATATATATATATATGTGTGTGTGTGTGTGTTTTAGGATTAGAATAGTTAGAGTATATTTGAAATGATCAAATTGAGTATTGCGAATATGAAAACATTTCATACCGGTGGAGTATTCACAAGGGGTACTGCAGAACATGTACGAGCCTCTTCTAATGAAAAAATAAATGCGAGGATGGGGGAAAAATACTTAACAATGATGGAGATTGGGATAGGAATGTCATACCCATCCCTAATTCAACCCATTACTATTCCTAGTCAAAAATTTAATGAAATTGATTTGTCGAATGTTGGTGGTCCTATGGTTGTGATTGTAGTGGTGATGATAGTTATGGTGAAGATGGGATGGTTGTGGTGGTGAGCATGATGTAGGTGGAAGTTGTTTTCTAGTGACTGCAATAGAGGTACTTGTCGTTTTGTTATAGAATTTTTCAAAACGTACATATCCATGTGAAATTTAGGGAGCAATCATAGTTAGGATTTATGAGCTATAATTCCCAAGCTTTTATTTTTTTAATAGAATAAATCTTAAGTCTTTCTCATAATTTTTTAACAAAATTAAATTATATAAAAACTATTATTCATTTCAATAAAGGAGGAGACACATATTTAAAATTTAGTGTTAAATGTATAAAATATAAAAATAGGATATTACAAGTAGCACTAAATTAGAGTTATTTACACCAATATCCCATGAGGTTTTCGATGTTTTCACAAAATCCCTTGAGGTTATAAAAATTACACGAACACCCTCTTAAGTCTTAAATTGTTTTCACAAAACCCATTTTCATTCATTTTTCATCTAAAGATTGATGATTTTATATATAAAAAACAAAGTTAACCTTTAAGATTAGATTGCACATACATTCATTGAGGTTAATTTTGTTATTTGGAAAAAAAAATGTATGAAATCCTCAAATTTTGGATGAATGATCAATGAAAAGAGGTTTTGTGAAAACAAATTGAAACCTCAGGAGATGTTCGTGTAATTTTTAAAAACTCTTTATAAAAACACCGAAAATCTTAATGGGTGTTAGTGTAAATAACTTCCCTAAATTATTCTTCTTTTCAAACCAAACAATAGTAAATATGTTCTTTTTTTAAAGTTAGATGACAGGCAAGTCAAAATTGTTTGTGGCAAAAAATGTTTGAATGTACCGTTTGTCGGGCAACCGATAATGTTTTCTATTTAGTTTGTTGTCACGTAGTCATCACATTTGAAATTAGAAGGGTTTTAGAGCTTAGGATCCCAAACATTTAAACTAAACAATAAACCCCTAAGCCTTAAACAAATCCCAAACGTTAACAAAAATAACAAATGAAAGTAGTTCTAAGTTCTAACTGTCCCTCAATCACGAAGGTGTTGCTATCATCCGTAATGCGGAAATGCTAATATTTACATGTAAATAAAAAGGCAAACAATATTTACCATTTACATATATAAATAATATTTTATTATTCACATTGATTAAAAAAATATATTTTATTAATAAAATTAAGGTTAATTACATTTTTTTTTGTCACTAGAGTTTGGCTCAAAATTAAATTTTGGTCATAGTGATTTCAATTTTCTCAATTTCTTCACGGTATTTGCAGTAGTTAACAAATTTAGTCCAATGCCTCAATTTGGAGAGGGTCATGCATACCCCCATAAAGTGATTAAAATCCTTGATTGAGCAACCAACACGTCTACTCAAACCTACAATACAAATTCACCAAGCAACGGCATAAACGACAAATCAGTATCGAAAGCCGAAACCTAAAAAATACAAAGAAAGTCTCCTAAAGAAAAAATAAAACACCTCCAACTCCCAAAGAGTTCGCGAAAATTATTCTATAAAAAAACTAAGAAGATAGACCATCGCTCCACATCCTTCTGTGCAATTCAATGATAGCCATACCGCCATATCGACTAAACCCGAACCCAACGCAATCCGACATCTTCACCACATTGCACTCCAAACCCATGTCCAAGACTAACAAATGGAGCGAAATCGTTGTGCATGTGGGCCAACTATCACGATGACGACATCGTTTCATGGCGGCTGCTTCCACACCACAAAACAAAATAATAAAAAGAATGAGGGGGGAAATCGAGAGAATGAGATGAGAGGAGATGAGAGGGGAAAGGGAGAAAAGTCGCCGACCGATTGGCTAGGATTTCATTATTTTGATTTGATTTAGTGCATTTTTATTAATTTATTGTTTAATCAAATCACAATAAGCATGGTCCTTAAAATTGAGGAGGAGCTCCTCCTTTAAACCAATGAAATTTTGACACTTGTCAAATTAAAGCAACATTGACAAAATTTTAACAATAAAGAAAAAAGAATATTAAAAAATTTGACAAATAGAAAGATTTTGGCTCTGAGGAAATCACAATAAGCATAGTCCGTCGACAAATAGAAAAGCTTTTGGCTTTTCGTTAGTGACAAGAGAAGACATATCCATCCATTTCCTTTTGCTTAAAGACGTTAAAATGGCCACTAGATATGGAGAAAGAACCAATCTTCTGCTAGGACTGTGGATTTAAATCTTACGAAAATGTCACCACGAACTCCAAAAATGTCAAAATATGCCACGCCTATCAACTTGTTTAGATGCATTTATCATTCATCCACACTCTGCCTTCCACTACCTAAAAGGTCCTCTAAATATGTCTGTTACTTGTGCTCAAAGTCTAGGGGCTTGTTTTGCAAATTCAAACAATGGCCATGGTCTAGCTAGCCAGCCGTCTAGGCCTGCAACACAAAAGTCAGTGAACTTGATCATGATGACATAATAGAAAACAAGATTCCTACAATGATTTACTTTTTGATTTTGATTTTTTCTTTTTAAATTTTACTTAACACGTACGTACGATCTCACGTAAGTTTCATGATATTATAAGTTGCATTAATTCCAGACCAAGTGGAGCAATGTTCAAAGATAGGTTATGTAAGCATTTGAAATTTTGATTGGATTCTAACTAATTCATTTGCTTCGGTAGGTATGGGGAAGCTTAAAAAAGAAAATCCACATCCACATTGAATGAAGAAAAGATGTTCTTTGTTTATTATTAATGCTATAATTGGAGGATGCTTTCGAAGTTTGTTCCTTGAAATTTTTTTCTTCAATTCAAGTCAATGTATTATGTAATGGATGTACCAAATCCAAGACAAAAGAAGGATAGCTTGAATTTTTATGGACGGCAAGTAAATGCTCGAATCAAGACAAAAGAAGGATGCAAGTAAACATGGAATCAAGGGAAAGCATGGACTTTTTATTTTATTTTTTGGTGCACTAGTATACTAATAGACTATTCAAGTTTGGTAATTGACTGGCATTGGATTTGAGAGGATAACATTAAAATAGTGATACATTTGGTATTATACATGATAAAAGGGTTGAATGAACTGAAATATTCTATCGTGAGGAACTTGAAACTCTATTGATTAAGAGCATTTATTATTGCACCTTAAGTTATAGGTTTAATTCTCCCTCCCTAATGCATTGAAAACATAAACTAAAATATGTTATTACATAGCACATCAAAATTGGACATAATCTTGTCCAACTTAATCCCAAGATTTTGGTGGGATTTATAATCCTACTATATTTAGGATTAGAGATAATCCAATTCAAGATGTTTTTAGACCACTAAATATTTGACTAAGATTTTAAATCATATCCATCCAGATAATGTTAATCAAGTGATATGTTAGATTTTTTTTTTTTTTTGTTTTTTTTTTTGTTATTCTATACAAGTCATAACAGACGGGGGACTTAAAAAAGGTCTATATCTTATGCTCCCTAAAGTGACAGCACAAAGATGGGTTCATGTTCGTTCACATCCTTCCCGGATCATGTTTGTCCTGTAACTCGTGATTGTGATTGATCTTTAATATATATTATCCAACCATATGTGAAATATATATCAGCCAATCACAGTCATAAAATAGGTCGCAATACACTTCACTTTTCTCACGTTGGTGGATTTTTTGTTGATAATAATATAAAATTCTAATGTATCTGGATCCTCTGCTTGGATTTCTCTGCTATGATTTGCTTGACTTTTCTCTTCACATGACACCTCAATTAAATTTCATCCAAGACAACACACAATTTTTTTTTTTTTTTTTTTTTTTTTTTTATGATGTCATATGAAGAGAAAAAATCAAACATAAAATATAGCTGAGAAAATTCAAAATTCACACTTTTTTTCTAGGACACTCTAATTTTAATTTGGATACTCTCCAGAATGCAGGGACAGAAAATTGAAGCTGATCTCATCTCACAGTGTGTAACATTTTATCAGTTTTTCAACATAAAAAAAACTTTGGTCACCTACTATTCACTCAAACACAAGTCAACTAATTAGATCATTTAATTGCAACTAAAATCCAACATATTCCCCAAATGATCTGTAGAGTGATGAGTTTGACCAACCTTCTTGCTCTGCTGTTGATATGATACGCTACTTGGATAGTCTGATGACCGAATCCTTATGTGCAGAAATGCTCATCTAATCCTGAGGAAAAGTCAAGCAAATCATAGTCTGACTTTTCCTCATTCGTAAAAGAGTTCAAGTGAGAGCCAGGCTTCACAAATTCATGCAACATATCAGTCCGTTGTGTCCCTTCTGTCAAAGCTCTCCTGAGACCACTCAGCATTTGTTTATGGACTGCCAGTTTGCTAAGGATGTGTGGGCTCTCTCTAGTGATCTCATGCCCTTTCCCTCGCAGATTGGTGATCTGTACAATTGGCTTTTGTCGCTGAGCGCCACGTCCACAAAGTCTGATTTGGACCCCCTTTCCAAAGCTCTCCTTATCTGTTAGCAAATCTGGGAGGCTAGGAACAATGTGGTGTTCAATGACTCTAAGGCCACCCCAGCTAGCTGTATTCATGCAGCCTGTGTTGGTCTGGACTTTTGGAGGCTTAACTCGACAAACAGATCTGGTTCAATTGATTCTATGATTATTAAGTGGCATCGTCCTCCCACCGGCTGGATTAAGGTCAATTTTGACGGGTCTCTCATGAATTCTCATGCTTCCACAAGTTTTATCATTCGGGATTGTGAGGGGCATGTCCTCGTTGCGGGCTCTAACAATATTGGAGAAAATTCCATTAATGTTGTTGAATGTATTGCTCTTTGTGATGGTCTTGCTGCTGCTCTTGATAGAGGATGGGATCAAATTGTGATTGAAGGGGATTCTAAGCTAGTCATTGACAGTATCCTGGCTAAAGCTAACCCCCCTTGGTGTATCCAACAGATTATTCAAGATATTTGGGCCCTGTCCTCTTCTGTTGCAAGCATCCGATTTCAACACATTTTTAGGGAGGCCAACTTCACGGCGGATGCGGTTGCAAAATTAGGTCATGGTCTTTCTAATCAAGTTTTGTGGGAGCATAGGCTTCCGTTATCTGTTAGGACCCCCTTTTATTTTGACCTCTTTCGGTGCTCTTGCCCGCGAGGCTTTTTCTTGTAATTTTTCTTTTCCCTATTAAAAAAATAATAATAACTTGGGTTTTGTATTTATTATATAGGGACGGACTTAGCAAGGTCCTAACCTGGGCTATAGCCCAACTAACTTTTCTTGTCTTTCAACTCAAAATTACATTTAGCCCACCTCTGCTAGCTAGAAGGTTGACTTGCAAATCTTTGCAAAGGATAAAAACAGTGTAATTAAACATAATAAATTTTTTCCCGATTAGTGTGAAATTAATGTTAGCTGATATTGGAAACTTTTTTTTTCTTTTTGAAAACATTGGAAACTTTACCTTGGACTAATTATGTTCTACATCAATTCTGAGTTGATAAACACGTGATCAACTATTTTTAGATTTTTTGAAAAACCATTCATATCACTAGCTTTCCTTTTCTTCATTCTATAGCTAAAAGAATTACTTCCTTTACATTTTGTCGTAGAGTCCTTATGAGAAAACCAGTCAAAGGCTTTTATTGTCATGAAATAGAGAAAACTATGATAATAATTTTGGTGTTCTTGCTTATATGAATAATGAATTATCGATCAGTGAGATTTAATGAATTAATTAGTTGCTGACATGTTATCTTGTATATATTATTTAATAGGTTATACTTTTATAATGTTGGGTCAACATAAAAAACCTAAAAGATCAAAGATTCTTTGGAATTTTTTTGTTATCAATGAAATTCACTCATATCATCGACTTTTCTATCTTCTTAGTAAGTTTGTACTTCAGGTAAATTTAACCGGCCCCATTTTGAAATTCCCTTTCATCAATTAAATATTATTTTTGTTTCTATATATAGAAATATATATATATATATATAAACTAAAACAGAAAACTAAATTTTTCAACAACAAAAAGAGCCAATTAACAAGGGCTAGTCATATAGGTGAAACTTTTTTAAAACTCCCAAAATACCCTTAATTAAAGAATGGTTAACGAAAGGGTTGAATAAAGTTGCCAATAGCCGCATACATATTTTTGTATTAAAAAACCACATACATATTTTCGTATTTTTCTAATTTAAAACAAAAAAACAAAAAAACAAACAAACCCACATACATAATTTACACTATGCAATCAACTTATCATAATGTTAATTTACATATACGTAATTCACAAAAAGCCAAAGAATTTACAGGAATTAATTTTTGAACCAAACTTTGGCACTAACGAATTTAAAGGTACTAACAACAAAAGTCAGTACAGCCACGTCTTGGATGACACACAAACCCACTTCACCACCCTATATAAAAACCCTAAAGCTATACTATAAGACAAAACCTTGTGAAGCCAAAGATCTATAAATATATATATATATGTATATATATATGTGGAAGAAGCTGATTGAGGGCAGAGAATACAATATGACGATGGAGCAAATATCAGAGACAAAGGTGTTGGCTTTGCAAGGTGTCATGCAAGGCGTGTTTGAGTTGAACAAGGCCACTTCAAGTTTGTGTGTAGTCCATTCCTGATTGTGGAAAAGGTGCACATATCCTTTTTAGGCATACCCAATGTCTAAACCATCTATAGTTTTAGGTTATTCTTGTGGGAGGCACACCCTTCAAATGAGTAGAACATGACTTTTATATTTGGGATCAGATGACTAACTTTTAAAGGCTAATTTGATAATCATTTCAGTTTTTAGTTTTTAGTTTTTATTTTTTATTTTTTATTTTAAAAAAATTGAAAACATAAAACTTGTTTAAAACTTATTTGGTAATTGATTTCAGTTTTATGTGGAACTTGGGAATTGAATTTTTTGAAGGTCAATTTGAGAATTTGAGATCATAGAATGAAAGTGGATGTTATAAATAGTTAGTAGTATTTTTCAGTGAAGTTTTTGGAGTTAAGATGATTTTTTTTGTGAATTTTGAATTTAGAGGTCCCAAGGCTTGGATTGGGTCTACGACCATATGCCAGAGTCAAGTGGCTGGGTCCAACTCAAGAGGTCCCTGAGTTTGGTAATTATAGCCCAATGCATATGTGGTGATGTAAAATTAGTGAATGAGAAAGGAGAGCAAAAATAAAATAAAATAAAATAAATAATTTCAAGTTGTTTTTCAAAAATAAAGTTTGATTTTGAAAGCAAAATTTTAACACCTCTCACATACTTGGAAAAACAATATATCTTTAGATGGAAAGTATTACACCTCTCACTAATCATGTTGTAATTGTTTTTCCTCTCTTTTTCATTCAAGTGATTTCTTACACCATGTAGTACAAATAGCCAGAATTTTTTTGTTATAACTTTTTTAATTGTTTATTGTAGTGATTCTATTAACTTAGAATTTTTGCATAGAACAATTTTATACATGCCATGCGTGTGATGGCCGTTATTGCTCGGCAAACTTGCGTGTAGAAATTATCCAGTTAATAAATTAAGATTCACCCATAAATGTTGAAATGATCCAGATAACAATCAGATTTAGCTAATCTTTTGCATCAATAATTTTTAAACGAAGACCTAAAAAAGTGAACGATTCTATAGTGAGGTCCTTATATACGACTCTTATATGAGATTATATCTCTTAACCGTTGATTCAGACTAACCAATTTGATCCAACGACTAAGAGATAATGCCTCACCTAAGGACGATATATAAGGACCTCACTATAGAATTCTTGATGAGGCCCAACCCAACAATACATAGGATCCGCATAAATAGGACCCTTAACACAAGGCTCTGCTTAGAAGAGGCAATAGATTTCGGGTAAATTTTGAGATTTTACGGGGAACTTTTAAAATAGGTTAGAAATAAGCCAGACAGATAAAAAAGCAGACAGAAATGCATTTCCATTCATTGTCCCAAGGAACTGTCAGGTTTATTTTACAGAATATGTAAAAGCTTCCACGGAATACAAGTCCATGCACACAGTATCACTTGATTATATCAATACAGGAAGCGCTTCCAGCCTAGTCTTTAAGTTCTTCCATGGTTAGTTAACAGGTAAGGATCCAACTTCGGGTGACTGGTAGGAAATAGAGATCAGCTCAGACCTGAACTTATCTTCTCCATCAGAAACTATCGTTTTAACCAGAGCTTCACCATTCAGCTTTCCACCATTCAGATTTCCAGATGAGAGATTTGAAGTGATAACCTTCTCTGGTTCAGGGTAAGAAATGGCGATAAGCGACTCACGAGTCACTTCTTCAGGAGCCCCGTTTCCAAGTCTGGCTTTATCCATAAAATGTCTGATCTCTTGGTCTGCATGCATCCAAACATATAATGTTAACTGGAACTAAGATAAAAATGGCTGACAAGGAAAAGAGATTATAAATAAGAATGCAGCTTCAATAAAAGACACTGCACGAAAGTTCCAAATATCTCAATTAATAATGTCACAAAGTTGTTCATTTTACGATTGAAATGCACCCCTGTTCACCAGCCAAAATCAGGGGAAAGATCAACAAATTATGGGAGGGCTAATGGCCATGATGACTCAAGTACTTGTACTTTATGATCTTCTTGGGATATACACCACTTCAGTAAATCTGGGCCTCAATAAATCAAAGCCAATATACAGCCACAAAGTTACGTGTTATCGCAAAACAACAAATTATCAACTATTACAGCCATATAAGAAAATAGAATTGCACAAAAGTTTCAAACAGAAGAATTCAGAAATGCATCCTCAAAACCAAGAATTACTGCTGAGCTCCATATTATTCAAACAGCAAAGGGTCCAACTGGCAACTACAAAAACAACAGGACATCATATAGAATCACATAAACAAACAGCAATAGAATACAATGGAAATCGACCTTGAAATATTTCTTTTATGACTACAGTAACTCCTGTATTAGGCTCAAGACATCATCGTAAGTTCGGTTTGTTTATGTTTGCTAAAGGTCTGTTCTCAATTGTTTCTGGGGTTGCTCTCTAATAATGTAACTACTCTGAATAAAGAGAAACTAATAGCTAGAAGCAATGGTTCAGTCCTTACACAAATTAAATATATTGTATTGCTGTGAAAACAGATAATAGTAAAAGGCTCAACACATTGTAAACCACAAGAAGCTAGTGAGAACTAAGCCCCAACAAGCTAGAGACAATCAAACATAGAGTCCCACCAAATTGTACTACAAGTAAACCAACTTATCAGACAACACCACAAACCAACCATTCCTACCAGCAGAAACATGTGATTTGATGTTTTCCGGCTTCATTCAATCGCATCAACCAAAAGAAAGGGCATCCTACTAGGAGTTGAAACCAACTGCCAGCTAGAATACACCCCATGATTGAGGCCCTACCACATGGTTTAAGCTATTAAACCTCAAGCTACAAGATATATGAACGAAAACAAAATCAAGGAAAAGTGATTGTACTGAGAAGACAGACATAACTTGTTACATATAACATAGAACAAGAAGTAAAAATTTAAAATTCTTGGTACAACCAGCAACAAGAGGCGGAAACTGTGCTTAGCACCATGTACAAAGAGGGCAAAACCCATCCCTCTCCAAATAATTTGTATGTGTTTCAAGCTACATAAGTATATCTCCTTTCAATAATTCAATTAACCTCAAATCATCACTTCAAAGAAAACAATTTCTAGATTTGACCTTCAAGCATAACCATAAAAATTGAAGAAAAAGACTTCAAACTTTAACAATATGGAAAATTAGCCACCAACCCATCAAAGCGATGAGAAAAATATGCAAAACTCATGTCCTGTTTTCGAGAATGATCAAGAAACAGATTCAGTTCAAGGAAGAACCAGAGAAAAAGCAAAGAGGAATTCAAACTAAACAAATTTTGAATATGGACATCGATTCAGAGAAAAAGAGAACAGAGAAGCCCGAAGAAAACACTTGAGAGAGAGAGAGAGAGGACTTACCGAAAAGTCGGAGGCGCTTGAGGAAGAGAAGGCGTTTGGTGAATGGAGGTAAGAAAGTTTGACCTTGCGTTTGTATGTCTCTACACTCTTTCTTTACTGATTTTACCTAAAAGAAGATGAGAAGAAGACGTTGCAAATTGGCTTTAGAGAGAGAGAGAGAGAGAGAGAGAAATGCCGCCTCTTTTTCTCCGTCTCCAATTCGATCTCTGCTTTGATTTGATTGTATTGGGTTACCCAAAAAGAAAAAAAAAATTGGTTTTTTATAGAGGAGCTCGTAGAACGTTCTCGAGGCGTTGAAAACGAAAAGAAGTTGGTCAAAGAAAAAAAAACCCCCCAAAAGAAGTGTGTTTTTGGTTTCAACTAAAATATGTTTTTACCTTGTTATAGCTGAAAATGAAAATGAGTCTTTCGGTTTCAGCACACGTTTTATGTGTGCTTTGATTGCAAAACAAAATTATAAATTCCAATTTATTATTATTTTGCTTGAATAACGAAGTATAACTAAAAAGGATTTTATTTTTGAACATGTCAAATTTCAGTCTAAAAAATTACCAACCAAATTCAATTCATGTCCTAGATGAACTAATGGTGTGTTTACTATCTACTTTAACCCAATAACGATGATATTTTAGTAATTAAAACCACTCCTATTCGAATTCCATATGGTTTAATAGACAACTTTAATAGAAATACGGATCTAACTCTCCTCAATCCATATGATTTAGTAAACAACTTCAATAGGAATGCGGAATCTAATTTCCTCTATTCAATTCATCCTATTCAATTCATTCTAATCCAATTAGGATTAGTAAACATGCCATAAGTTATTGACTACCATATTAGATTCTAGATAAATACAACGTAGAGTGTAAATGGATAATCTCATATGCAAATTATCATCTTTTAAGCAATACTATTTTTCTCTCCGTCATTTAAATGAGTAGCTTAGAAACAATATAATATGGCTTCAGGATCATTAATTTCCTCTCTTTTTTTCTTTCCTTTTCTTTTATTTTTTATTTTTATTATTTTGGATTCAATTTTAATTAACTAAAACATCCCTGTTGAATTTTGTCCTTTTGTCTCAACTAGCTAGATGCTTCTTCTGTTGTGATAAGGTATCTTATTAATTTAATTATGTGGAGACCTCAAAGAGCAATGTCACGTAGCTAGCTCCAGCTGGAGACCTCAAACAGCAATATTACCTAGCCAGCTCCAGCACAGTTAGTTCAATAATATTAATCCAAAACTGGACTTGAGTTGGGTTTTAGCTGCACTTGGTGAATCTGAACTTGAGCTTGAGTTTTTTATTTTTTATTTTTAGAAATTTTGGGATTGTGTTTATAATGCTGTAAAAAAAATCACTAATTACAAAAGATCAATACAAACTAGCCACAAAGGGCTATAATAATAACGGAGCGATCTAATATCAAATTTAAGACAATTTGGTGTGTCTCCCCTAATAATCATGCAAGATCGAATAAACACTGACATTGTCATATCCCAAATAAGATTGCAAACTTGAAACAATCAAAAAGAGATAAAGCTAGAAAAACCAGGCATAACAATATAAATAAAACTCTCACAAAAGAGAGGTGAAAAACTCTCACAAAAGAGAGGTGAAAAACTCTCACAAAAGAGAGGTGGAAAACTCTCATAAAAGGAGAGGTGTATTGTGAATTTTAGACAACCTGAAAAATGGAGATTATAAAGATTAGTTTAAACACAAATTTTACTCGCAAGTGCACAAAGTCAATCATAATATAGTATGACAAATATGAGGTCATTCCCACGAGGATTGAGTTCAACTTCCAATTAGTCTAACCTAATTCACTTCACAAAATACTTTAACTACTGTAATTATATAAACAAGAAATTAAACACGTAGCATACTCACGTAAACACAAAATGAATTTTTGAAAGAATGATTTAATTAACAACGAAATTAAAAGACAAAACAAGTAAAAGTCAAGAAACACAAGGATGAGAAATTCAAATTGATAAAAGCACTAGGATAATGAATTCACCACTAGTAATCCGATCTAGCATCTTATTCACCTACCTATTAACTAACCATTTGATGTCGTCGCTTAGTTTTCCTTTTTCATGAATTACCTATAGTATTTAGGCTAACTCGTATATTCCTACATGCAATTCGCCTATGGTATTTAGGTCAAATATCAACACAAGAAACTCATTAGATAAGTGAAAACCTCCAACAAGTATGTAAACCCTAGGAGTATGGTATTTACCCTAGACAAATTACAAATCCTAATCACAAGAAGCAAGCCTCAAATTAAGTATAGTATTTACTCTAATTTGCATCCGATTAACTCAAGATAATCAACCAAGTTATTAAGCACAGTGATTAAGAATCCAACATCAAACGGCAATCAATAGATAGGTAAAATAAGAAAACTAGATTATCATACCAGGGCTACATCATGCCTTAGCAAAAGAAAATTAGTTACACATAATCATCGAATTCGACATAAACAAAAACATAAGGAAGAAACAATAAAACTTAGCCAATTGCGGCACTCTTCCGGCGTCTCCAATTTCTCCTAGTCTTTTCGTCCTTCCAAAGGAGTTGTTTCTTAAATAAAACACCACACGTCTTTTTTTTTAATCGAAAAACACCACACGTCTATTCCTACTCTAGCTGGGCTTTTACAACAGCCCAAAAATAAAGAAATACTTAATTAAAACATAAATCCAAATTGGGTAAGTAATTGACTCTTCTTCCTACTTTGATTGGGATACACGTTAGTTAATTTGCACGCACGTTTGGAATCATTCCTCCTCCAAGAAAATTCAGGAAAAATATGAAAATTGTAGGTCTTTGTCTTATCTTTCCAGCCATATATCGCACATCTTGAGGAAAAATAAGAAAATTCTTCAAATAACATTCTTCCACAGCAGTACAGTTTTGACAGGATTGCACCCTATGCTGACTTAACTTTAAAGACTATCATCATTGATTGCTCCGAAAATTCTAGAAAAATTCCACAATCATCTTCAAGATCTTAACTTTCATCTCCAACAGGTTTCACTGGCGGACCTAGAAATTTTTTTCACGGAGGCGCAGTTTTGGCCAGGATAACTAAAGAGTTTAGAAGCTCAACGAACTAAATTAATGTTTCAATGGTAAAAGCCCACAACCAATGGCGGAAATCAAATTTGAAAACAAAAAAACTATGTAATCTAATTTATAAATATATATATAATCTAAAATGAAAAAAGAACTTTGATTAAGGGGGAGTTTATTTCATCTTTCCTATCGTTCGAAGAAAAAAAGGAAGTTTATTTCATCATAAAAAAATAACAGGAGTAATTTCATTTATTATTTATTTAATAGTAAATTGGAAGTTCA